TAGTTATTTATGCCAACGTAAATATTTTAATGAAAAAGACAAGAAATATGTCGGTGAAACAAAAAGTTCAAATCTAATTGAAATTTAAAGTGCCCATGAACTCACTGATCATGCACGAGTGATTCTATTCAGAAAAAGTGTCCGTGTAACAACTAAAAAGTGTCCGTGTATCATCTAAAAAGTGTCCGTGTAACACCCGTTAATGTACTGTTTTTCTATAGCTCTGCTGGGGGCAAAGTCGTACAACTAAGTTAAACAGAAGAAATATAATGAACATCGCTTTTATGGTCTACTTAATATCGAAGTCAGAATGTGGTCTTTCTTTGTAAAGATGTTGTAAATTAATCAAAAACAACAAAAACCAAAATAATTTGAATGTTTATATTGGAAAAAGTAACGTTGTGTTAATCATTACAATTATTTTCTTTCAAATGAATATCAAGCTGTTGCATTTTTCCGCTGCGAGCAAATTTTGAGTTTTGACCGCATTTTAAAAATTAATTTTCTTGTTTTTAACCTGTTTGAAACTGCGCTGTGTAGTTTTTTTCTTGTATTGTTTAATGCCAAATATAGTCAAGACAGACAAAAAAAAGTTGGACGGTTACATGTTAAAATAGAAATGGGGAATGTTTCAAAGGGACAACAACCCGACCAAAGAGTAAACAAAACAGCCGAATGACACCAAGTGGTCTTCAACACAGCGAGAAAATCCCGCACTTCAGCTGGCCCCTTAACAAAAATGTGCACTAGTTCAGTGAAAATGGACGTCATACTAAACTCCTACACAAATAAATGAACTAAAATTAGAAAAAAACATACAACTTGAAGACTAACAAAGGCCAGAGGCTCCTGACTTGGGACAGGAGCAAAAAATGCGGCGGGGTTTAGTGAGATCTGAACCCTCGCCATATACCTCTAGCCACTGTAGATTAAACAAACACACAGCAATACACCGCTACATATTGTGCCAAAGTCGGGCTGGGGAGAGTGCATGCTATACTGATTAAACCTACTGGATTGTGTGTCTTCACCAAGTCTGGCCAGGGAGGGATTGCATGTTAAACTGGATTAGCCCCACTAAATTTTGAGCCAAATGTCCGGCTATCCGGGTTTTGTGTTGTTCATTGTTGATTAAACGTCTATTTTTACTATTTATGGACAGGACTCGATGGTCTTTGTTGTTGTGGTCTCTTTTAATTTTCCTACCTTTTATCTTTTTATGTATTATTGTCGTATAACAGATCTAAAGCCCTTTTAATTACGAAACTATCTGCAATATATTTAATAGTCCTAAACATGCATGACAAATTTGACACTAGACGTAACGCAAACAAAAATCAATACACCAATGTATCTAAAGTCACAATTGATACAACTTTATATAAAAATAAGGAGATGTGGTATGATTGCATATAATACAACTATCCATCAAAGTTCAAATGAAGTGGATGTAAGCAATTATAGGCAACCGTACGGCCTTCAACAATGAGAAAAACCCATACCGTATAGTCGGCTACAACAGTCCTCGACATGAAAAATATGAAACAATTCAATTGAGAAAACCAACGGTCTAATCTACAACAAAACAATTAACGAAAAACAAATGTTCTGCTCTTTGGTCGGGTTGTTGTCTCTTTGACACATTCCCCGTTTCAATTCTCAATTTTATTATAGATATAACTGCATATAAAAATAAGAATATATGGTGTGATAGACAATCAGACAAATCAATTCCAGTGACCAACAGACGTTAGCGATATAGGTCACCGTATGACCTTCAACAATAAGCAAACCAAACACTGTATAGCATGAAAACTGCAAATGGCCTTGTCATGACAAACACGAAAGTTGAGTGGATGCAGAACAGAGCGAGAGAAAAAACACGGATACTGCATGGAAACTGGCAAATGGTCCGCAATATTACTTTGGTCAACTCACTTACTTGAAATTAAAGACCTGGCGAATTTAAGTCCTTATCTATGGCTGAGATGTATGTTTAAAAAAAAGGAAAATCAAGGTTTGTTTGGACATTTTCATAATGCAAATCTTAGTTTTAAATTTTTTGCGAGTAAGCTTAAGGAGTCAATAACAAATAATCACTCCCAGAAAGACGGGCAAATCCATTAACAAAAGAAAAAATGAATAAACGAACTACAGTGCACAGTATATTATATACTAGTACATATTTTATTTGCGATCATAAAATGTACGAAGTCGTCCATTACTATGTAAATTGGGTCGATTTAAAAAAAAAGCTGCATACGTTTCTGTTGTCAAGTGTTTTTAACAAGACTAGTATAGTAGTTAGCAGAAAAGTTCACCAAACTATACATTTTACCTATTCAATAACGTAAATGCAAATTTCTCAAGGCTTGATCCAGATATCTTTTTTACTGTCTAATAACTTGCAAATACGAAAAAGATAGGACAGAAGTGTATTTTGTCTATATGTTTTGTATTTGTACAATTTTTAAAGTTGATCATGCATTCGTTCTAAAATAAAAAAATTTACCAGATAATAGTTAAAAGATGACATAATTGGACAACCGCAATTGTTAAATCGCTTTGACGTCCGGAAAAAGATAATAATCAACACATGCATTGTAACTTTTAAAGCCAGATAAATCCTTTTTTTGCCGAAAGAACGTGCGATATCATAAAAATTGATTATCAAACATAACAAAAACACAAGTAAAGAACTTTAAGTATTTAATATAAATCAAAACACAAAGGTTATTCCTGATTAGTTTTTCGAATTATTTTATTTAGGCGTTGAGACCCTTTGGTGACCCCACAGTTTAAATGTCTACATCGTGAGCAGTGGGCGTTACAGACGAACGTTCACCTAATCTGACCCAGTCAATGGGATATTTTAGCGCGCCAATCAATGGCCTCGTATACACTGCGATGCACATGATTCTACATCCGATATGAAATCTTTCTATCAAATTCCTCAACAGAGGAGAAAAACAACAGTTTAATATATTTCTATATTGAAGATAAAAAAAAATTCAACAAAACAAGTCATAATGAACACTGTTTGGAAAGGTCAACATTTGTAAAGATTATAAATTATGGTGGAAACTTTGAAAATGCATTTATTGCATCATTTGTTTTTTTTTTTTTTTTTTAATTTTACAAGATATATTTTCCTGTTTCCTAATAATTGTTTTGTGTCCTACTTTGTTATGTTTTTCACTGAAAACGTACCATTGAAGTGTGTTTTCCAGAATTTGCCGAGTAACGCCGGAATGCCATGCGAAAACGTTACGGAAAGGCATGTGATAATAGCCGGAGGCATATGATAAATTTTTCATATCAGCCCGCTAATTTTTAAACACCATTGTGGAAAATATGGAATTCACGTAAATTTAATGCTATTATCATACTGTAAACATTATAAGTTCATGAAGTTATTAACTCAAAGTATATGATAAAAACCAGTATCTAATTCAATAACTAATTGGAAAATATGAAATTTAATTTATCACAAAGTTACACTATTATGCTTCATAATTATATTATTACCGTGTAATTAATATTTGTGTTAATTACCGTGCGTGTAATTAATATTTGTGTGCATATATCATCGGTTTGGAATAACCTTCATCAGGTTTCATTAAAACAATTTATACGGAGGTTTAGCAAATGGTATTTAAAAGAAAAACATTTCACTCCACCCCATTACCGTCTTTGAAATTAAGATTATTAAAGAGTGAAAATATTCATTTTAATAATTCAGTATAAAGATATATTGTCAATTGCACTTTGAATATTTTTCCGGCATTCATGTTTAGGATATTTACCTGTTCGTGTTTATGCCCCTCCCCATTAATTTTCCTTGATCTCATTCGCTAAAAGTTTCACCAAGTGAAACAATGTGAATAAAACGAGACGATAGACAAGTGTCTCCATAACATCTGGGAACAGTATATCTAATATATATATATATATGTATATGTTCCTGATAGCATACAGCAACACAACAGCGCAAATATCAACAATCAAAATTACGGTTTCAATAATAAAAAGGCGGTTTTACATCATATCAATCTATTTTTAAATGACCCCGATTTTTAAGAAATTGTTACTTTAGAAATGTGTTTTACCAAAATTGCTATTATTTTGTGTTTTAATGAGTTAGTAACAATGCTATCGCTATTATGTTCGACCTACGTCATAGCAACACAATCTTACCGTCGGATTAAAACGGCATAGTGTGAACGGGGTAGTCTTAATCTATGTATCAACATATAAAAAATGTAATTCTATCGCATATATCGATATTTATACCGTGTTTACACTATGAAATCTGCTCCGGGTCGAACCTGGGATAGTAAACCGGGATTAATCACCCCGGTTCACACTTGATATAGATTAATCTCTTTATGGATTTTCCTTCTGAACAAAAAATGACACATATGTGTCAACTTGCAACTCGCATCTGACCTCTGGAGTTGTTGACATTAATTGCACCACAGGTGCGTTATTTCGAAGTCTGAAATTCTTTTGCAAACTCCTTAGCGGTTCGGGAGAAACTAGCATTATCCACCGTTCATTTCCGTGTTGGCAAATGTATAGATAGCTAAATTCCTATCTTCTCGTTATCATTAAACTTCGTTGTTTCACTCCAGTGACAACTGACTCTGGTGTGTTGTCCATCAACTTTAATCTGTAATTTCGAATGACGTCGAAAATTGTCAAGTACCTATAGCAACAACCTCACATTAAATCCACTTTACGTTCACATAAAGAAGGCGAGGCAAATAACCCGAGTTCGCTCAACATTACTTCCACCTAAAATGAGGGGTCATTTCAATCCGGGTTCGCCCCTGTTGAGACGTTAACACTACCTTAATTTAACCTGGATTAACTAATTCGGGTCGAACCTGGTTTAAAACAGCATTATATATGTGAACAGGGTATAAGATATAAGAATTTTTCTTCCATGGCTTTTTCAAATAGATTTTACACGTTTATTTTGGATTACTTTCAGTATTTTCATCATTCAGAAATAGGTGGTGCTACAGATTCAACTACAAAAAATATGTCGACCAACAGTATTACCAGTAGGTATTTTGTTAAGTCAACCATATATAAATCATTTGTCCAAAAAAGTGATATGACTGGTTGCTAATTTCGAAATATTACGTTTTTCAGACCAGGTCAAATAAAGTCTTTAGAATTCGTACTAGCTGCTTTCCGGCTAAGCACGCTTCATTTAGGAGTAAAAGACTGGTTGGCTCTGAGACCTAATATAAAGTCCGGCTTAGGTATTCAATCTTGTAGAAAGCAACATCCAGAATCATATACATGTTCTTGTTCTAATTGACATTAATATATGATGTTTAATCACCAGCCTAGTAGTCAGCACTTCTGTGTTGACATTAAAAATCATTGTCTGGAAATACACTGTTTATAAAATCTTTAGGTATTCAAACACTAAGGATTTTTCTTCACCAAAGCACATATGACCTTAACCTCTTTGGGTACAATTTTGGGGATTTTGCTGTTTTCAAAATTGTACTTGATTTGGCTCCTGTTTTGATTCGAACTGACGAGTCCAATGTCGGCAAAAACTCTGATACACAAATATATAAACATGGTATTTGATGAGATTTCAATCTAAACATCTAATCTGTCTACGAAGTTTTGAAAACCGTTAACCTAAAAAGAACATCTATTGCTCGTTACAATTCATATTTAAAAACAAGGAGTGTGTATACTAAACCATAGGTTTTGAAAATAGTGATGCAATATTGTAAATGTGATGCAAACCTAGCAAATTTGGTATTCACTAAGAAAAATAAACCCATGAGCACAAAATTAGCAAGTACATAAGGATTCACAGCCTTAGATTTTGCGTTATTGTCCCACGTTCAAATATTAGTACATTACTGATCATAGCAAAAGTAATAGTCGATTTTATCATAAACTGTTGACTGAAATTTTTGCTTACATGAACCGGTTAATAATTACTCAGCTTCTTTTCCTTTGCTTTTTGTGGGTTTTTTTGCTGTGCATATACTGCAAGACAATAATATATCATCGATTTGGTTGAGCTTATTTTAACAATATTGAACAAACTGCCTGCTAACAGCGATATATTATTTCAATATATGTTTGAAAAAAAAAATATGCAAATTTTACTTTAATTTTTGTCTAAATCATAATGCCGCTTTATAATTGTTTTATAAACACAGCCTTTTGCAACGATGCCACAACATACCTCATTCTCCAATGCCACATATTTGTCATGCCTTTCATCACTTTTTCATTAATTACAGACAGTAAAACCAGAAAGTTAAGTAAGTGATTTTTAGATAAGAAGATATAATAAAAATTTAAAAAAAAAGTATATTGGAGAAACTAACTATCAAAATGATGCTATAAATACATGACTATATAAAAGCTTTAAGTTAACTTTTATTTAATTTTCACAGTCTCACCATATACTACACTGGGGACAGCACAAAACAACATCAGTTTAACTATAAATATTAATGTTGGTCAACCCATTGAACGAAATAATCAAACTGCAAGTAGAGATTTTAATCAAAATGAAAATGGTCGTTTCATATGGAAGTCTTCAGATCCCGGAGATCCACGCAATATGGACATTGAACTACCAAATGAAGACTTTGGAAAACAGGAAACAAATAGTTAGTATATCACGTTATTTTAATGTCAAGTTATTGGCTACCCAAGTTAAGGAAAAGAAATGCGAACCAAATATTAACTTTATGGACAAAATTAATATATTTTGTACATTTTGAAATATCTAAAATTAACAAATAAAAAATCTTTGTTTTATAGTGATCAGCTCAACAATGTCAACGTCCGGGAAAGGAAATTTACCTAATATTATAAGCACAAAATTACGCAATTATGATGTTACATGTTTGAGATACAACAATGTATTAGCGTTTAGTTAGTTAGTTAAAAAAAAAATATATCATGAGACCAGATGTCGAGCGTCATCTTCTAACGAAATAGTGTTTATCCATTGTGTCTCGTACTTAAACTATTGTTGTCGCGGCTTTTCCAAATTATTTTAATCGAAGACAAAATTTGATATAAACTCGAATGAGCTTACGTTATAAGGAACTTTTTTCTGATGGTTATAAATCTACCTTTCCTTTTTTCGTGGCTATACAGAAAGTTCTTATTTTCTACGAACATCAAGCCAAGTGGTGTCAAACTTTCGCTACCTGTCTGTTTCTTTTTGTCCCCAGCAAAACGCACTGATTTTCGAACTCATCAAAAACATTGATGATATAAACCTATGATATATGACCGACCCTTTAAACACTTTTGGGACTTCTTGCAAAATCTTACTATTTTCAATTCTGGATAGTTTTGTGTCGATCAACCTCCCACCATTGGTAATCTGTTTTGCTAATGGGTTACTGCCTATGGGAGAGATTTGTCTATGGGTATCCATAACATCACTGATGGTTGGTGGTACTTCCTCAATATCTTTACGTGGAGTGGTGTGGTAGATTCCTACTCCTCGCTATCGGTCTGTTCTGTCTGTTTGCCTGAATCTTATTGTTTGCGAATGGAGAAGGTTTTTTTTCAGCTACCAATTTTAAAAAGCGTTGGTTCTAGTCAAAGAAACCATGGTTAATGGCTAGGCTGACGTCACATCATGGTTTAAAACAACATCAACAATGATATCGATGAAACGTGTTAATTTTATATCTATCGTACATTTTACCTACTTTTAGCACTAAAAGTATTTGTTAATTACATTATGAATGTTTTTTTTTCCAATTTTGGGACAAATACTTACTTCTTTGGCTCATATGATGTTGACTATTCACGTTGATTAAACTCGTCATAATTGAACTATAATACTATATTCAGAGTTTAAGACCGAACTAAAATGAACGCAAAAGTAAACGTACACGATGGAAGATACATTCCATTCATAAAATTATCGATTTTCAGAATAAGCTAAGTAGCTATGTAATGTAAGAGGTTTTCAAAGAACCAAGTAACCACATTAATATCATCTCTCAACATTTTTTTTAAACATTTTCTTTTTAATTTGATATGTTTTTTGCACGAAAATTTTAACGTGAACAATGACTTTTTATTGTGTATTATAAGAATTCATTTGAAATGTGTGTTTGCATATAAGAAACTATTCCAAAAGTTGTATTAAGAGAGCGCATATAAAAATCAAGAAGGCTTAAATAGAACAACCAAAATTGTTAAAGGTCAACTTTCCTTGACCAACTCTTCATTATTATTCAAATACTATTATTGTTATTATTTCTTATTATTATTATTAATCTTTTTTATTATTCTCATTCTTATTATTATTTTGATGTATTAAATACCAGTCCTCTTATTAATAACTCATTTTTTTCCGTTTGGGATAAACGCTATTTGACCGTGTGCAATATTTTAAAACGAATGTATATCTTGTCTATCTTGTTTTTTTTATCAACTGTCTTGGTGGTTTATAAAATTAAAAAGTCATTAATATCGATTTTTATTTATAGAGGCAAATACATATTAATTTATAACATATCTGTGGTGGTTAAATCGAAGATAATACGAAGAGAGATAACTCTTAATTTTTTTTTTACAATTCATAATAAACTTAAACAGAATTGTCCTTCCTTTTACACTTTTGTTTCTGTTGAATCTTCTTACGATCCAATTTACTTCGTTTTGGATAATGTACCATTTTGTTGTTTCTATGCTAAACACAGACAAGACATTTTATAAATAATCCTGAGCCTTACCCTAGTACTTTTCTACTTGAACATTCGGTACGTAATAAATGGAGGCTTACTACATGCAGTGCCAGGAACGATTTCATTTAAAACAAGTTTTTCAATAAAGAAGTACAAATATGGATCTATCCATAACGCCTTCTAGGGCGCACTCGACTTACGTAAATTAGCAGAAAGTTTCGATAGTCGATGGAATAAAAGTAAAAAAATGTTCCTGATGGATTTTGAAATACAAAAGCATACGGATAATTGAATGTTATGTGCGAAAAAATATACAGGAACAAATCAACTGGGGAAAAATATATTTAACTTAAAAGAAAAGAAAAGTTTTGTAGTAAACACATAGCATTCCTAAGTGTAGAATGGTAAACTGACTTAATCCTTGTTTTGTATTCGGAGATCAGAAGGAAACAGAATGAACTGATAAATATAATTAAGTTTACAATTTCCATTTAAAACAAAAAGACCTGTAAATCCATATGTAAAATAAAGCTGCGGTTTTGAATAAGTTATAAAATGATGTATTAACCTCTTGTATTTCCTGAAATATTATTGCATTTAGTAAAAAAAAATCATATTTCTATAAAACGAACGTAGAATGTGTGAAAAACTTCCTTAAAGTTGTCTTTGAATTATCAATTCTCAATTATTGATTGTCCATAAAGTCTTCTTCAAAAATTGATAAATTTTTGCAAAGGAAATACATGTATCAGTTTACATGATATAATTGAAATTAAAAAAGAATCATATAAATTGACTTTTTGAATTGATTCTTTAACTTCGTTTGTAGTGAAAAACATACAAACATATAAGTACTAAATGTATACATAGTTACATTTATTTAGTACATTACAGCATCCTTTACCTATACTGATTTGTATTACGTATTTTTTATTTTTCCACTGATCGAATTTAAAACAGGAGGAAATGGGGGGGGGGAGGGTTGAATCTAAACAAAAAATAGTTGAACGTGGCTTTGTTGTTCTTGCTTGTCCCAAATCAATAGCTTTCGTCAATGATTGGTTGTATTCGGGTAATCTCCATGTTCCTTGTCAACATTTAATGAGTTATGTGTTGATTGCAGATCTTTGGTAGTTTCTTTTGAATTTGTTCCACTTTTCTTATTCACGTGTTTTGTGTACTGAATTCTGTATCAAACATCTATATTTCAGAGAAATATTTAAAAAAAAAATAAAGTAAAAATGTAATTTACCTGATGGTTATATTATTTGCAAATGTACAATCTGTCTTATTATTTTAGTTCCATTTAATATTCTTATAAATTATATTTCAGAGTGAAGATGGACGTCATGGCTTGTGTCAATTTTCCTATGAACATATTCCTTAAATTTCAGATACTTGCCACTGTACGTAAAACAAACAACAATCGATCAATCGTGCATATTAAAAACACATTGGTTAAACTGTATTTGTTTCTCTCCTTTGATTAACTATTTGTCTCTAACTGTAACTGATACTAATTTATGGCCAAACTAAATAAATGTATATGTATGACAAAGTACAGACTATAGAGTAATCTGTATATATATATATATATATATACTGCAAATATTAAATCCTAACTCCTAGAGTGGGACTATATTGCATTCACCTTGTCCGTCTTTCCATCCAATCGTCCGTTCATCCAACAAATATTTCCGTCACACGTTTCTAATGTATTACTGAACAAAATTACCTCATATTTGGTCAACAGCTGGACAGTGATACATGTAAGAGCTTCTTGTCCCAAGTCAGGAGCCTGTAATTTAGTGGTCGTCGTTTGTTGTGTATATATCATATTTGTTTTGTACATAAATTAGGCCGTTGGTTTTCTCATTTGATTTGTTTTACATTTTGTCATGTCGGGGGCTTTAAAAGTTAACTGTGCCGGATTGACTTTGCTCATTGTTGAAGGCTTGACGGTGACCTATAGTTGCTAACACCTACGTCTTTTTGTCTGGTAAATAGTTGTCTCAGTATTTTTCATACCACATCTCCTTATTTTTATATTAAACAGCTCAAAGAATTACTAAAGAAGTACGGATTCTACAGTGCTCTGTAATAAGTATACACATTGGAACACTTAACAATAACGATAATGTCGTGAAATCAGTTACACAAGAGATACTTAATAATAAAGTATATCTACAAAAATGTATAAAGAATAAACTATGCAAACATTCATGATGAAATCATATTCAACTTAAGTATGAAACATATTAATTAATATGGTTAAGTTATATGTAACAAATGTTTATTACAATACATGAATTGAGGATACATCGCTTATGTCATGTTTTTTTTTGTTTGGAGATAAGACCAAGTGTTAGATTAATTTTATTGATATTAAAGAAATTTCTTGGTATTCCTAAACGGAAGATTTTATACACACAGAAGAAGAAGTATACTTAACAACAAAATTATTTTCATTTACCTGTGTATAATATGACGCAGGTTTCTTCAAAAGTGATGATTTTCTAAAAATTGTTTGAAATTTCACAGTGATATCATACTTTAACTTTGTTTAAACCTGTTTATTTACTTTTGACTTTAATTATTTATCCCTTGTAATTTTTTATTAACTGTGTATTTGCATTCAGGTGTCACAGGTCAAATTTATTCGTTCATTGTGTGTTAATTTACGTTTTTTGATTGAGTTAAGCCTTCCAATTGATATTTTATAGTGTGTTTTTCTATGTTGTGATGTTATACTATTGTTTCAGAAAAGGGAGAAGGTTTGGTACCATTAAAACGTTTAATCCCGCTGCAAATGTTTGCACCTGTCCTAAGTCAGCAATCTGATCACAGTAGTTGTCGTCTGTTTATGTATAGTTCATACTTGGTTTCTCGTTTCTCGTTTTTATATAGATTAGACCGTTGGTTTTTCCGTTTGAATGGTTTTACACTAGTAATGTTTTGGGGCCCTTTATAGCTTGTTGTTCGGTGTGAGCCAATGCTCCGTGTTGAAGGCCGTACCTTGACCTATAATGGTTTACTTTTATAAATTGTAACTTGGATGGAGAGTTGTCTCATTGGCACTCATACCACATCTTCCTATATCTATCTATTTGCCGATTTATGATAATTGACCAGATTTTTTAAGGAAGACCCTTAGGGATGACCATATTATTATATTTTTTTATGGGGGTTGGGGTTGGGGAGGGCAAGAGGATTTTGAACATGAAAAAATAATCATGTGTACCAACATATGAAAATGAATAATAAATCCGCAAAATCCCCAACCAAAATTCAGATGAGAGAACCTTACCTCTTATCGTGCAAACTATTGCTTCTTTACATGATAAATCAACCAATGTCACATGACAGAGCAAGATGTCTAACTGTTTATAATTTATAATTGATTGTTGGTTGCTTAACGTCCAATGGCAAATATTTCATATATACTCAGGACGAGAACAAATTAACAATACATGTAATAGGTGGGGCTTGTAAACGGGGTAGACCATGCACATGAAGAGCGAGAAATTTGGACTTCCACTGGAAAATGGTGGTAAATTGGATAGGGACTTGTAACATGCAGTCCACTTGTGCACCCCTCAAATTGTTGTTGAAATGGTTCTTATCGTATAGAGAGCATGGCACTCTCTTTACACGATGCATTGGATTTAACGCCCCCATTCTGAGCGGACGTGGCTGCGTATTTATACATCCCGCAAAACCGAACAGACGCCCAACTTTGGCTGCTGTTTGATTCTAGATTTCTAGAGAAAAAATCGTAGCAGAAAGGCAGTCACAAGAAAAGTTTGTTTTTATTGAAAACTATTATAAAGAAAAATATAAAGTAGCGTGGACTTAAACCAACAGAATGATAGATCTTGTATAATATTGAAAAAAGTTTATATTTGATTTAAGTTGAAAACATTTGTACTGCGAATGAAAAAAAGAAGAATTTTTGTGAAAAGAAAAGCAAAGAGTTTTTTTTAAACACACAGAACAGATTACACTATTAATATATTTTATTTAATCACGTACAATAAGCATTATAGCGTTTGCATGTGTAGAAAGAATACTAGAGTTATCTACCTTATACTGCAAAACAACCATTAGACAACTTTCGAGTTTGTTGCATTTCCGTCAAAAACTTTGGTTTTAGTGAACATCGTTCGTGCATTTAGGAGCATCGTCACTTCCTTTCCATGTTGAGCGAGTGGTTGAAAAATATGATGCTATATCGCACGAATTATTCGGCAAATTAAATTTTTATATTTGCTCATCAGCACTAGCTGCTGTCCTTAGGGCATTGTGATTAAGTACCTACGGATCAAACATTATTTCTAGTTTATCCTGCATAATGACGCTTGATGAACTTTAATAATTCAGGGATACAGGCGATCCCCTCTATCTAGTAAATGACGTCATAAAGGCGCGCATAATTGAAGACTTTTTTCGGTGAAGGACATAACTCGAAAGTGGTCTATTGGTCCAAAATCTATGATTTAAAACAAATGCAGGATTTTTTGTCAAAATATGCATTAATTGTACAAGTTTGCTAGAGTTAACTACCTTGTAATCTACTTTGAAATTTTCACTGCAAGTCTTGAAATCGTGCATAATTTTTGTTTGATGATGTTGAAAAGCCGCCACCTTTTTGGTAAATCAGCCACCGGTTTTAATATACATAACGGGATCATCATGATGCGGAAATAAAAAATAATGTACCATAAATCTGTGAGCAGTGTTATCCTTATGAAATGAAGAAAATTTGTATCAAAACCGACTCGACAACAAATTCATAACTACATTGGTTAGTATTTCACAAAAGTAGTATTCCGAATATTTCGAAAATGTAAGCATATTTATATAACTTTTGATGTTATACTTTCATTGTTCCTTATAAGAGCTAGCTCTCGGAATGGGAACAGCAGTTAGCATGTTTATTTTTCTACAAGGAGTCTTTCACCCACGATTAAATCAGCAGATCAATGTATTGGGATTGGGAAACTATTGAAAATAGGAAATTATGTATTCTTTTTTTTCTTATTTCTTCTTTTTTTTCGAAATTAGCAATGATAAACTAAAAAGTGATAGGAGTGTAAAATAGCACTGAAAGCATCCAAAATTGAAATACGTTGAGTTGCTATTTACTAGAAAAAAAAATCTCATTTCAAATAATCGCCTTCATTATCTACATGATACTTCATAAGCTTTGGATTCAGTACACTTATTTGTTTCATTTCAATTCAATATCGATCAGTGTGTTTGTACTTTTAATTTTACTGTTTATTTACTGTAACTTTATTATACGTTTAAGTGCTCTTTCTGTTTTGAATTTATTGCATGTTCTTTTGTGTTTTAGATCTTTTGACTATGGTAACACGACCCGTTGAAAGTCATGAACCTATAGTCAATCTATCTGAGTGGTTATTAATTATGTTTGATTTAGTAACAACATTTGTTAGAGTTTATTTTTATTTTTACTCGGGACAATCTAGAGCATATCATAAACTTTATTTAAAGAAACCTGTGGTTCTGTTAAATACTGTCAAAGAAATCTTTCGGCTATTGGTGTCGTTTTGTTGCCGTCTCATCGAGGTATACTACGTCTTCTACGCCACCCCATATTAATCCGCCACTCCATAGTCCGCTCTTATTCATGTTATTCAACTAAAACAATTGTGCAACTTTGAAATTTGTTTATTTGTACTTGTTTATTTATATTTCTTCGACCATCCTGAAGTGTGTGGATTTTCAATAAGATGACGTACAGATTATGTAATATTGTACGCACAATTTCCTCTCATAAAAAAATTAAAAAGGGCGAATGAACTTTTCTCAATACATAATAGGATTGAGATTAAATGTACTTTAGATTTTAAACATTACGTTTGCACGGGGCCACCTTTGTGATCAAAAACGAATAAGGGTTAATGTACAAAAAAGTTATTGTAATTGTTATAAGGTCATTAAACTTTATGTACAAAGTACAAATATTAGATGTATTTATATGACGAATTTCATTTTTTTTTCAAAATGTAATGTAATAGTACATGGATGTATGTAGCCAAAATAATAAAAATATATTGTTGTTGATTTTTTTTTACATTTATCAAATTCTTTGGGCGTTTTTGACAGAGGTGCATTTATCTGCTTAAATAAAGTTTCATTCTTTCTACTGAAGCAATGCTTAGTTTTATCAACTAATTTGAATTTTTTAAATTCTTTTTTATAAAGGCTATCTTTTTATAACGAAATCAAATGAAAGTCTTATGGTTAACGCTTTTAAGAAAAAATGAATTTTTACTAATTTTTTTATGGCTTTACAATGGCTTACTATATTACAAAGATAAAATTCCAATCTACATCAAAACAAAAATAAAAAGGGTTTATTTTCTTTACAGTGTTTTTGGGGTGATACATTTTTAACCAAATTCTGAAGTGTGTTTGCAAAGGCTGATATACCTCACATTAACAAATAATAAAACTTTATTCAAAAGCATGCTTTTTATAATTTCGTTACCTCAGTCTATTATATCAATTGAGAATTTTTAACATTCTT